ATGAAATAATAAAGATTAATAGTAAAGATTAATAAATAAGGCAACAAGAAAAAAAATAAAGGGTCGGGCCCAGTGGCGCATGCCTGTAATCCTAGCACTCTGGGAGACTGAGGCAGGAGGATTGCTCAAGGTCAGGAGTTCAAAACCAGCCTGAGCAAGAGCGAGACCCCGTCTCTACTAAAAATAGAAAGAAATTAATTGGTCAACTAAAAATATATAGAAAAAATTAGCTGGGCATGGTGGCACATGCCTGTAGTCCCAGCTACTTGGGAGGCTGAGGCAGAAGGATTGCGTGAGCCCAGGAGTTTGAGGTTGCTGTGAGCTAGGCTGAGGCCATGGCACTCTAGCCCTGGCAACAGAGTGAGATGCTGTCTCAAAATAAATAAATAAATAAATAAATAAAGGAGAAAAGAAGAAAGGGGACAAATAGAAAAAAAATTAGCAAGATAGACTTAAATCTAAATATATCTGTAATTGCATTAAATGTAAATAGACTAATACTGAGATTAAAAGATAAAAATGTAAAATTGAATTTTAAAAACATAATTATATACTGATTATAAAAGATGCATCTTAACTATAAAGATACAGATAGGATAAAAGTAAATGGATAGAACAGATAGCAAACACTAGCCAAAGTGAAGCTAAATCATTAATATATAAAGTAAACATTAAGAAAAAGGCTGGGCACGGTGGCTCACGCCTGTAATCTTAGCACTCTGGGAGGCCAAGACGGGCGGATTGCTCAAGGTCAGGAGTTCGAAACCAGCCTGAGCGAGACCCCGTCTCTACCAAAAATAGAAAGAAATTAATTGACCAACTAAAAATATATACACAAAAAATTAGCCGGGTGGCGCATGCCTGTAGTGCCCAGCTACTTGGGAGGCTGAGGCAGTAGGATCACTTGAGCCCAGGAGTTTGAGGTTGCTGTGAGCTCGACTGATGCCATGGCACTCACTCTAGTCTGAACAACAAAGTGAGACTTGGTCTCAAAAAAAAAGGGAAAAAAGAAAAAAAGAATTATTAGAGATGAAGGGGACATTTCATAATGAGGAAACAACAATTCAACAGGAAGATATAACAATTCTAAATTGCTGTGCATTGAATAACATAGCTTAAAAATATGTAAAGAAAAGATGACAGAACTAAAAGAAGAAATAGACAAACATACAATCCCAGCTGGAGATTTTAACATGCTTCTCTTGGAAACTGCTGCAAGTAGGTTAAAAAAATCACTAAGGATGTAAAAGATTGAGTAGCACAAAAAAATCAGCTTGACCTATTTGATATACATAAAATAATGTAAACAACAATAGCAGATTATAGATTTTTTTTCATGGGCACAAGGAACATGTACCAACATAGACTGTATTCTGGGCCATACAGCAAGGCTCAACACATTTCAAAAGACTGAAATCATGTGTAATATATTTTCTGACCACAATGCAATTGAACTAGAAATCAAAAAGAGAAAGACAACCAGAAAATCTAAACATATTTGGAAAATAAGAAACACATTTCTAAATAACCTATAGGGGAAATAAAAACTAGAAATGAAATTAGAAATATTTTGAACTGGCTCATAATAAACTACAACATACCAAAACTATGGGTTAAACATTACAGTTAAACATTGCAGTTAAAGCAATGTTTAAAGGTAAATATGTAGCTTTAATTGCATATATTGAAAAGGAAGAAAGGTTGAAAATCAACAATTTAAGCTTCTGCCTCAAGAAGCTATGAATAGTAAATGAACATCAAACATAAACCAAAAATGCCTGGGATTAAATGCATGTATTAAGAAGCAGAAATGTTGAAAAATCAATGCTTCTAATAGAAGAAAAAGTTATAAAATAAGAAAAATCAATGAAATGAAAAACAAGCACAAAATAAAGCAAATCAGCAAACCCAAAAGTTGATATTTTGAAAAGACACAAAATTAACATACACCTGACTATACTGATCAAGAAATAAAATGAATAAAAACACAGATTGCCAATATAAGAGAATATCATTATAGAGTCTACCGATGTTACAAAGATAAAGAAGAATGTTGCAAACAACTTGATGTCACTAAATTTGACAATTAAATGAAATGGTAAAATTTCTTAAAAACAAAATTTACCAAAATTGACAGAAGAATAAAAAAATATGTATAACCCCTGTAAAAATAATTAAATCCACAGGTAAAATCTTGCCCCCAGAAGAAAATTATGGACCCAAATAGCTCACTGCTGATTTCTTCCAAACATATAAGGAAGAAATCATACTAAGCTTATACAAAGCTTTTCAGACACTATAGGAGAAAGGAACTTTTATCAACTACACTCTTAGCAATAACAACTAAAATTAGAAAGGCTGAACTTTCACGTAATGCTAGTGGGTGTGTAAATCGGTACAACCATTTAGATATTAAAGTTAAATACATGCTTCCCCTATGGCCCAGCAATTCTGATCATAGGTAAATACCCAACAGAAATGTGTGCATGTTTTTACCAAAAATGTGTATAAACATGTTCGTAGCAGCTTTATGCATAATGGCCCCAAATTGTCCACAACTCAAATGCCTACCAAAATGGAATAAATTGTGGTCTAAAACGCAATAAAAGAGAACAAACTACAGTTGCATGTAACATGCATGAGTCTCAAGACATGTTGAGTGAAAGAGTACATACTGTATGAGACATGCAGTTTGAGAACAGGCAAAATTACTTTATAGTGATAGAAGTCAGCCTTATGCTATGTTGAGGGGGGATTTGATTGGTGTGTGTAGGGCCTGGAGGCCTTCTATATCTTGATCTGAATTTTATCAAGTGTACACTTAAGGCTTGTGCCCTTTACTACACATATGTTCTAGCTCAATTATTAAAAATTGTTTATAAAAAAGTCTTCCTCCCTGAAATTCCCACCCCCGTCCTTTATCCAACTTTCTTTTTTTGATCCCAATCTTCAAGCTCTTGCCTGTGCTTTTCTACTTGGTTTTATTCTGGCTGAATGTTAGACCAACTGTATTCCTTCTGCCCTAACCAATCCACACCTGGTTTGTTGAAATCCCTGTGGGCCCAAGGCCGCTCTTAGGCAAGAGTGTGTGGAAGGGCAGTCGTGCAGGGCCCTGCGCCCAGAAGGGTTTAACACTGCTGTCGCCATCTTGAAATGCTTACTTTTTGACTGGAGTCTCCATTTTCAGTTTGCGCAGGACACTGCAAACTATGTAACTGGCCCTTGGGCATTTTCATCTTTAAATGGATTATACGTCAGTACAGGTCTGTAATCCTGAGTTCCAGAGATTCTGAGTTACTTGGATGTGGGTGAACCCTAGCCGTGGGGATTTGGTAAGCTGACTTACCCAGCTGACTGCACTGCTCGGCCTGGGAACGACGGATCTAGGTGGAGAGCTTGAGCCAAATGGGTGGTTTACAGAACCTCTGGAGGGCTTACAGGATGGAAGGGTCACTTTGCCTGGGTGGTCAGAGGGCTTTTGTAGGGGAGGTGAACCCTCACGTGAGTTTGTGGGTAGAAGTCCAATGCACCATGTAACAGCGTTCCAGGCAGGGGCACCTTGAGGGTCAAAGAGCTGCAGGCGTACAACCCTCTGGCTGGAATGGGTGTTCACAGCCTCCTCCTTCCTCGCCAACATTCTTATTCTCTCATCCATCAGTGAAAACCTGTCGGTTCTCTCTTGTGATGAAGCTATAAGAGTATGAAGGATGAACCGATGGACTTAGCCACCAGCTGATTTTGAGAAGAGAAGGGCTCTGAAGTTTCAGGTGAGGATGCCTGGCTTGGTAGCTACTGCGGAGGAAGGAGTGCTAGACTGGATGGACGTCAGAAGGCATCGTTCTAGTTTTCATTCTACCCCTGGCTAGCTCACAAGGTGCTTGCTCAATTCTCCCGAACTCAGTTTCTCATTCAAAAATTGGGCTGATTTGATCTGTAAGTAATCTTCCATTCCCACAAGGCTCTAATTGTATCGTTTGTATCTTATCTCTTGGATATGTACAAAGTTATAGATTACAGGTTATTTTTACAGGTCAGTAATGGTAAAGTGGAAGAGGTCCATAGACAGAACCCAGCCGGTAGACTTTTTTCCTTGTAGCCTGAATATTAGTCCTTAAAACAAGGTGCTGCCAACATTATGAGATTTCACATTAAAATGTAGGTTTGCAGTCTCTCTTAAAATGACAGGAGATCTGGCAACCCCGGGCCTGCTTTGAGCCTTGCTCCAGACATAGGTGCGGAGGAGGGGCTGCCCTTGGGGACAGGGCATGCACGTGCCAGCTTACCCCAGCGCCCACCCCTCCCTATTCCACATGGCTGGCTTCACTGATTGACACCAGCACTCAGACCCCCAGTGGGTGTGTCCAAGTTCCATCACGGGGCTGAGTACCTTGTGAGGTCCTTGTGAGGACACTCTCAACAGAGTAGTCCCTGCCTGTCTCTTGCTGCCTTAGAATCAGTACTAGGTTTTGTTAGAAACGACAGTCTTCTGCGTGTTAGGTATTCTTCCATTCCCTCGTTTGTCTTGTCTGACTGTGACCTCAGAGCACTTCTCTGCTCTCCAGCCTCAAAGAGGATGACCTCTCTTTAGACATCATTGCTTCTAAGAAAACAAGCAACAACTCGGTAACTGGACATTCTACAGGAATGTGTGCTCTCGTCCATCTTTCCGTAATCCGCTGCATTCTTCAGGCCTTCCGTCTTCTAAACACTCAGGCTAAATGACCCTCGGGTTGTTTTTCTAACCACAATTATCCAAATCCTGTTTTGTTTTCCCTTTTCTCTCCAAGTGCTCAGTTGACGTCACTTAGGTTTTATGGGCGGCAGCGAAGCTTTCCCAGGGACAGGGATGTTTTCCTTGGTTGAGGTCTAGAGGTCGTGCGGTGGGAGAAGAGGTCAGGGCATGGCTCCCATTGTGACCGCTACAAGGCCACCTGCTCGGGGAGACTTGTGCCAGACCTCATCCCAGGGATGGGCAGGGAGTGAGGAAGACTGGAGAGAAACCAGACAGTCCGATCTCCCGAAATCGGTCGTTGGTTCTCCTCCGAGTTGACCACGGATCGCCCCTCCCCCCATGCTCTCAGCACTGATGTGTGGCAGGAGTCCTCGCTGGGCAGAAGGCTCCAGGCAGCACCTGCCAAGAGGACAGTGAAGGGGCGCCCTTGGGCTCATCTGCGCTCTGATAAGAAGCGTATCCAGTTTCCAAGTCTAAAGTGATCCTGGCAAACTCGGTTCTGTGATTAGAAGTGCACGGAACATGGAAAACTATTAATGAGCAGAGGAACATCTTGGTGTGTGGCCCGTGCCAGGGGGAGAATGCAGTGTGCTCTTAATGAACCTGACCAAGTTACCGCCAAGCTGCCTGCACCCCGAGATCTCACCAGCTGTGACCTCACGTCGCCCATCTGAGTGCTTAGGCAGGAGGGTAAGGCTCTTTCCTCCACCTTTATTTTTTCTTGTAAATATAAAACCTTTGCCACCAAAGGAGATAGCTTATAAAGAAAGGCTTAAACAGGAGAAAAAAAAAAAAAAACCAGTTGCCAACCCACTCCAGGGAAGGGGCAGGGGGTGTAAATGCTTTACAGGGCACAGGGAGCCTGCTCCCTGGGGCTGCTTCGCTGCTGGGACCCTTTGGCTGGCTCCTCTGCAGGTCCATGCGCTTGGAGCGAGGCCAGTTTTCCAATTCTGAAAGCAGCTGCAGATCCCCTTTCCGTTAAGTCATTTGGCAGAAATTGCAGGTTTGTTGCTGGTATCAGTCATTAAAGTGAACTGTCTTAAAATAGGCTTTTGGGACTCCGGGTGCTGATGCCCTCAGACTCAGTGACACAAGCAGCTAAGAGAGCTTGAGTAAAAATAGATGGGTGTGAGGGGGCTGCACTCGCCCCTGACGCATGCTCAGTGCCTCCTCTCGGCTGTCAGCGCCTCTGTCCTCTGATGTCCTATCTGCTCCCTATTATCCGCCCTCTTCTCAACTCCCACTTGCTCTCCTCCTCATAGCAAAACCACGGAATCATTCCCGGCCAAGGGACAATCAGACCTGCCCATCAGGTCTCCCAGTGACTAGCATTTGAGACACTATGGCACAGCAATTGTTCCTTAGAAAAATGATATAGGGTATTTAGGCTGAGACTATGTACACAATCAACCCCAAGATTAGGATTGTAAATATAACTTAGAAGCTTAGTAAATAGACCTTAAGCTTGGTCAACTTTGGAAGCAGCTGGTTGTTGTTACTGTTGTTTTCTTCTGGGACTTTAATGGTGATCTCTCCCTCCTAATTTTTGAGGAAGTATAAAAGAAAGCCTTATCTGGCCAGTGTTCCTGTCTCACCAGGGCCACCGTGTCCTGCTGTGCAGGTTGTGCACTGCTCAAAGTCAGAGGGCACCGTTCCCATTAACTATGGGCTTAATGGTGTACCCTGGTCTTGTGCAGTGTGGCAGCCCTACCACCCGTGATTTATTTGCTCTGTTCTCTCCAGTTCTTTCTGTTCTATAGATCCCGATCTCATGATTTGGTAAGTAAGTTGGAATGTGAGGACTTCAAGATATGGGGAGTTTGAACTAAAAGGAGTTCCCATTCTTCCTTCTTTCTGTCCTATTTGAAGTTGTGTTTGTCACTCACGCCATCTCTCTGCTTTCCCTTTAAATATTTCCTCTTAAATCTTTTTCTGTTTTTTTAATTCCTAAACTCCCTTTCATCTAAGAGGTGATAGGTCTTGTTCTAGGAAGTTTGAGAACTCGCTAAGGTCTTCCCTGGTTTTGTCCGCTCCTGTCCACCTACCCGAGCAAGATAACGATGTGGAGGCCATCGGCTATCAAGAGACTGCCTGAGATCCCAACAAGGAGAGAGCTGAAATCACATTAGTTGAAAGTGCCTTAAGTTGGAAGAGATCTGAGAGGTCATCCACAGCGAAAGGAATCCAATTTCTCTTGATTGCTCTTGTGACTGAGCACTCATCTCACCAGATATCCAGTCCTGTACTGGCTTTGTCTTGTCACTAGATGTTCTTTGAGCCAAAGTTATATTGAGCCACAATCTACCGGCTCTCTGACTTCAAGTGCCTACCGTGTGTCCGGCGTGGTGCTGGCAGCTGGGGACGTGAACAAGAGTGAGAAATATACTCTGCCTCCCGGGAGGTCACAGTCAGTGATTTTTACACAAAAGGACGACCACATGACACAGACTGGCAGAACACTAGGGGAGCACCCAGCTAAGCCCCACACTCAGCCCAGAGTTCTGCAAGTGACTGAGCTGGGTTTTAAACTTTTCGTTTTCTGGAAACATTACAAGTTATTCTTTGTCTACACACCAGCTCTGTAATTTTTTAGTACAATGATTGTATTACACCTCATCTTCTTGTCTCCAAGTTGTCTCTTATTGCTACCAAGTCTAGTAGCACATGAATTGCTTTTATCATGGGCAGTTTCCTCATCTAATGTTCCCTAGGAAATGTTATACCCCAAATTGAGCACAGTATTTATTCCTGATGAGATCCAACCAGGGCAGTGTGCAGGGAACCATTGTTTCCCATGACCTTGATGTTCTAATAATGTGGTCCATGAGTACATTCTTGTATTAGTATTTTAGAGGTTATTATTTGATGGCTAAAACCCAATCCCCTCCTGCCCAAATCTTTTCTGGATAAGCAGCTGCCAACTAAGGACTCTATTTACTTTTTACATTAAAGCAGCTTAGAATGACCCAATTACTTCCCCTCTGCATTAGAGGGGACTGAGATGCATCTGACCACTGTCAGTTCTTCCTGGGAGGTATCAAAGTGCCTTAGGGCTTAGAGCTTGGACCACCCTGTTCTCCTTCCTTTGACTGTCATCATGGGGACCTGTGTATGAGTCACAGGCCAAATGTCTTCTTGGATGTGATATATCTAGTACATACCACAGACTCTGCTCTAACTATAACAATGTTGGAAAGAGAAATAGGTTTGCTTTGGTGTGATTTTTTTTTTTAAATATTTTAAAGATCTTTCCCACCTAAAACTTATGTTCATTGTAATTTACTATTTATGTTCTTTATTTGTAAGCTCATGTCAATTTTTTCTTTTTCACAAGGTAATTACATCTGGAAATTACATAATTTTACATGGTTTATAATGAAAAAGGAAAACCCCAGGCTTCACCCCCACTCAACCCCACTTCCCAGAGACAAACGCTTCTCTTTTATAGGGTTCTTCTGGTACTTAGCTCCCTTTCATCAAATAACTTGTTTATACTACTATTTCTTGTTTTTAATTTTTTCAAATGCTTCTCGATTTTTAAATTTGGTTTTTAGGTTTTATATAGTTTCTTGTTCCTGTGGAAAATAAGGCATCAATGAATTTAAACCTCACATTTACCTCCTTACTTTGCCTTCCCCTGGTTTTTGTATAGTGTTATCAAACATTTTTATTAAATCAATATATGGTAACTGTCATTGTGACTCTAAATATTATACACAATGAGCCATGTTTTTTGTTTTGATTTTTTGCCATGACTATATTTCCTTTCTTTTTGCTTTCCATCAATTTTACGATTGCCTCATTTTTTCCCTCCTATTTGCTTGCTTTTCTATTACCTGTTGTTAATTCGTTCTTGAATTCTCCACTAGGAATGTGCACCTCCTTACAAACTGGAACTGTTATCAGTTCAATTCCTGCCTCCCCTCTTTTTTTATTTTTTTTTGAGACAGAGTCTCACTCTGTTGCCCAGGCTAGAGCGCCATGGCATCAGCCTAGCTCACAGCAACCTCAAACTCCTGGGCTCAATCGATCCTTCTGCCTCAGCCTCCTGAGTAGCTGGGACTAGAGGCATGTGCCACCATGCCCGGCTAATTTTTTCTATTTTTGGAAGAGACGGGGTCTTGCTCTTGCTCAGGCTGGTCTTGAACTCGTGAGCTCAAACCCACCTCGGCCTCCCAGAGTGCTAGGATTACAGGTGTGAACCACAGTGCCTGGCTCCCACCTCCCTCTGTCCCTCCCATAAGTCTCTCCTACAGCCCTCAGTCCTCCTGTTCCAGACTACAGTGATTACATCCTAGCTGCAGAGGGATTTCCTTGCACCTTCCTTGTCACAATTCCTCCTTCTGTCTCCTGGGTCAGATCTCTTCATTCCTGGATCCCCTTCCCTCCTCTTCTTTAGAACACTGCTCATTTTGGTGGAACACATTGTCACTTAGCTTCTTGAGAAGGAGTCCATGGGCCATAAAATCTTTGAGACCATGAATGCTGGAGTATCTTACACATATAACTGTCATTGGCTGGAAATGGAATTTTAAGATGGAAATAATTTTTCCTTGGAATTTTGAGGATATTTCACCATGGTCTTCTAAGTTCCAGTTTTTTTGTTGACAAATTGAATGCTGTTCTCATTTGCTCCCATTAAATGTTGCTAGGTTGATTTAGCATTTTTCTTTCTGGAGGAATTTAGGAGTTCCCTTTGTCCCAGGGTTCTGAACATTTACCAGGATGAGTCTTGGTTTAAATCTTTTAGGGTTCTTTCAGTCTTGAATGTGTCTTCTTCAGTTCTGGGACATTTTCTTATATCTCTGATTATTTTCTGACCCTCATTTTCTCTGTTTGCTCCTTCTGGAACTTCTATTATCTTGAATGCTTCCACTAATTTTCTTATTTTTTTCTTTCTTATGTTCCCTCCTTTTTGTCTTTTTATTATTTTTTAGGAGATTTCTCCAATTTTTAACTTTCAACCCTTCTAATTGAATTTTCTTTTCTGCTACCATAATCTTATAATTTTTTAGAGGTCTATTTTGGTCTTTGAATGATCTTTTTTATTGAATCACCTGCTTGTTTCATGAATACAGTATCTTCCCTTACCTCTCAGCCTATTAACTTTAGTTGTTTTTTTAGAAATGTCTATCTACTTCTGCATTTTCTCTATTTCTCATGAGCTTGTTTTCCTGTTGGTTTGGTTTACTTGCTGCCTTTCACATTAGAGAATTTTCTTAAATTCTTGATCTTTGGCTGTATGTTCATAAGCTTCAAGGCTTCATCAGCCTCAGCTGAATCTCCTTATTCTTCATAGCAGAAGCAGCTATCGCTCGGTTTGTGTAAGCCAAGATTGCCTTTGAAAAGAAAATCAAGTTCCATTTTTGATTCATTTTAATACAATTTTAATTGAGTAGTACACCTGAAAAGTATTTTAAGAGTCAAAACTTCCATTTTTTAAAGTCTAAAGTCCATAACTCTATTCTAGGACTAGAGTGTAATATGTTCTTAAAAACAAACATTCCTGGTAGAAATTTGTATAAAATTTTAGACCCTATTGCCAGAGATCATCATGAAAGAAATCATGATGTTTGCTGTCATGGAAAAGAAGTATAGAATGGGAAATGGGAGAGAAGAGAATGAGACTGGGGTGAGGAGAGGCTTAGAAATTAGCTCTGGGACTGAGGAGAGGGAAGTGGTTTTCCTAA